TATATTATCAAGAATTTGGTTTTATCTCTCTAGAGAACCCTGTCTAACACAGCCCCTCTCTAAGCTGTGGGCCCCTTGCCACCCTCAAGCACTGGTAGGCACGAGCGGGCTCCCAGGGTAACAGTCTCAGGCTTCCCCAATCCAGGGGTGCACCCTACCTCTCGGTGTCATGTGCACAGTCTGGTCGGTTGCTCTGTTCCCTGGCATTTTTTGTCACCACAGCATAAGCGCTTCCACTCCCTTCTGGCTTCTTCCAGTCTTCTGAATTGCATTTCTCACTCTTACCTGCTTTCTCTCCAGGAAGGGCTGTTTTGTAGTTGACCTCCACTTCCTGAAACACAGAATCAAGCCCCAACTTTTAAGACTAGATTCCATACTCATTGGTATAGCAGCCAGTACAACACCCTCCCCGCCCCCTCCGCCCCATATCACCCTACTCATAAACCAGGTAACTCCCATAGCCTCCAACCCCATAGACAGTGATTCACTCTGGGCCACTGGCTGCCTTGCCAGTCCTGAACAGACTGACTATAAGCCACCCAAGCACACTTTGTATCAGCCATCTCTTGCCTCGGGTGACCTCACTCACTAAACTAAGGCCTGTGCACCCTTATCACCTAATGCCACCTGCTGTGAGAGACCTTCTCCAGCCACTCTGTCCACAGGAGCACCTTCCCTCCCTCCATCACTCCATAACATCCTTCACCACACTGATAGCTGCCTGACCTTCCTCCCTTCAGGACATGATCTCAAAGGGAAGGGCCATCTCTCAGCACTGGATGCATATCTGTTAGTAAAAGGAGATGGGAAGCGTGTGTTAGGCCAATGACACTCATACATGTATAAGAGAGAGCTTTATGTCAAGAAGTAGTTATATACAAGAAAGCATCCTAGCCCAGTCCAATTCAAGTCTGTAAATCTGACACTAGTCCATAAGTCCTCTTCAGACTCACAGAGCCACATGCAAGGGCACAGACTACAGGGAGATCACCTGCCAGTGGGTGCAGAGTCACGTGAATCCAGGGTCTGTGGAAACATGGCAGGGTTTTAGCAACTTCCGGGCTGGTGGCAGAGAGGGGGAGGTTCCCTGGGCCCGCCTTATGAGAGGCCCCACCCCCAAGGAGGAGCCCTCCGACAGTGACCTGATTGACAGGTTGAATACGATCCCTACGCTTTCACACCTCGTCAAGTTGACATAAGATTTTCCTACTGTCACAGAGAGGGCGGGTCTGGGGAGCCATCCTGGGCCGGGCAGGAGCAAGCCTCTGAGGTGGAGGGAGATACACGGACCTCATTATGTTCTCTGGAAGCAGAGACACTTGCTGGTGGTACTTTAGCAACATGCAAAATGCTCCGGGACAATTCTAAGGTTAATCACAGACCCACAAAAATTTATGTTCTTGGTGTCTTGGTTTTTAGGCCTGTTCCTGTGGTTATTTGGGACACTGATTTAGAAAAGTATTACATTGGATAGACTGTATCAGCTCTAGTTTCTTTATTATTAAAAAAAACCATTTTATTGGGGGCTCATGCAACTTTTATCACAATACATCCATCCATCCATGGTGTCAAGCACATTCATACGTTTGTTGCCATCATCATTCTCAAAACATTTGCTTTCTACTTGCGCCCTTGGTATCAGCTCCTCATTTTTCCCCTCCCTGACGAACCGTTGATAATTTTAGAAATTTTTATTATTTTGTCATGTCTTACACTGTCCGACTTCCTTCACCCACTGTTCTGTTGTCCATCCCCCAGGGAGGGGCTTATATGTAGATCTTTGTAATCAGGTCTCCCTTTCCACCCCACTCTCCCTCCACTCTCCCAGTATCACCACTCTCACCACTGGTCCTGAAGGGTTCATCTGTCCTGGATTCCCTGTGTTTCCAGTTCTTATCTGTACCAGTGTGCATCCTCTCGTCTAGCTGGATTTGTAAGGTAGAATTGGGATCATGATAGTGGGGAGGGAGAGGAGGAAGCATTTAAGAACTAGAGGAAAGTTGTATGTTTCATCTGGCTCATCT